TTTTTTTTTTTTTTTGCGTAACGATCAATTAATTTTGTTCTCAGATTGTGCTGCAATGTAACAAACAGTGGTTACCCTGAAAACATTGCTTAATAGTTATTAACTAACTTTGAAACTTAATGAAAATAAAGCCTGGTTTCCTGACCAAAACTGTTGCACACTATACATTTCCATCTCTTTTCAATTTTATTTTCCTCAATACAATTTTCAAATTGTTTGCCATTCTTGGAACACTTGGTATTCTTATTATAAAAACAAAACTTTTTTATTGAAAATGTAAAAATTTTAGAATGCTATAGATAATTAATGCTATATATCAATAAAACCATTAAAAGACATTCAAAAATAAAAGGAGAGAAGTAATTTTATCTGAACATTTTCTGACATTTCTTTAATTATTCTAAAATTTAGTAATAAAATAATACAATAAATTTTGTAGCAAACAAATCATCTCAAACTTGATACAATTTATAGCATCTTTCAAAACATAATTATGTATTAAAAAAAATATATAACAATCACGCATTCCTTGAATTTAAATCTGAAATGCCTATTTGAACTTACAAAATTGAATAACAGCAGAAAATTTACATGTGATCTATAGAAGTTGGTGAGTACAAAACGGTTTAAATTTTATAATCCCTAATTTAACAAGAACAACTTAATGCAATTCCAAGTATAAATGAGAGCAAAAAAAGTTAACACTCAAATCACTCATTGATAAAAAAAATAATAAATAAATAAATAAAATATTTTTGAAACTTAAGAAATATGTAAATGTTAATAAAAAAATACTTCAAAGTTAAAAAAAAAATGAAACAAAATTTTTTTTAAAATAAAAATTACAATCGTATAAAAACACAACTACAGTATTTTACAACTACTTAAACTTAAATGAGAAAGGGCATGACATATTATTAAGTATAGAAAACTATATCCAACCAAATATAATGTTTTTTGTCACTGTGATAATTAAAATGCAAATTATAAAATTAATAGTAACAAGATATAATAAAAATTAAGTAAAAAGTTAAATGAAAAGTAAAATGAAAATCTATACACTTTCAAGAAGAAAAAAAACTATTTATTTATTTTGTTACAGTGGTAATTAAAATGCCCATTGTAAAATGCCAATAAGTAACATTAAACTCTGTTAGATTTTCAGTTTAAGTTAATTTCTCAAACTTAATTTTTATAGCTTAATCCAAAAAGAAAAAATAAATTAAATTTGTGATTATTTCTTTTATTTCAGTTGAAAAAGGTTGTATTTACCTTGTAAACTTCTATTAAAACAAAATGTGATGCAACATTCTAGAGTAGGTTGGATGAACTGCACAAAAGAAAATGGCTGAAGATCTACAACATCTCTAAGCTAGGATAAGAAAAAAAAGTATTAGTAAAGAAAACAGAAAAATATAAATCCTAAGCGAATAGCAAGCAAAAATTAAATGTTAACATTTTGAATTAAAAGGCATAGTTACAGACTTAATAGGAGTACATTTAGATCTTAGTAGTGATTTGAAGAAATAAACTATCCTAATATAGTACAATGATTTTGAATTAAAATATCATAGAACAAAAATATCAGCCAAGAGAATATAAGTTTCTTTGGGAAAAAATTGTCAGAACAATAGTAGGGAATACTGCTGTCTTCCAATTCTTTAACCAGGTTGGTGTACAGAAAACTGCATCCTAGAAACTAATAATGATTACTGCTAATTTTCAGGAATATTTTTCATAGCTCAAAGAAATCATAGCTTAAATATACTTTTATAAAATCTTAAATTATTTCAACAAATTGAAGAATTAAATTCTTATGTGAGAGAAAAGGATTATTGAATAAATATACTCAATTATATTTTAACAATCGCCAATTGGTCCAAAGGCACAACTTAGATCATTTTGTAACAATTCTAGTTGAGCTACTTTTATTTACTAATATTTATATTAACTCTTTCAGTTATAGATAAATAACAGTTAGAAAAATGCAAAATATAAATGTAACAAAATACGATTTCTAGAGCAACGATAGATAAAACTTTTTAATCTTTCAGAGCTAGGAACTAAACAGCGGTAATAAACATAATGATGGAACCATAACTCTCTTTTTCTGAAATTGCAAAAAAAAAACTTTTAACTCCTTGTATTTACTGCAATTCAATTGAGAAGAGCAAAATACTATTTTGAATTTGATAAACATTTCATAATTACAAAAATATATTCAGTGAATCTAGCTAAATTCTCGCCATGCATTATAGCTATTTGGCTTGAATAAGGGCAAAAAACTATAGTTAAAATAATATTAATACTTTGTTTTATTACTTATTCATTTCTTTTATCACAATGTTATAAATACAGTTTTTTTATGAATAAAATTATAAAGAAAAATGTTTAGTGGAAATTATTGGATATCCGATTTGTATTAATTTCAAAAAAGCTTTTTGTAGCAAATTTCCAACCATAACAAAAAATAATACATGAAAAAATCAAATAAACATCTAACATATAAGGTATGAATAAAACTAACAAAAATAAACAGAATTATTTATTTTTGCAAAAATTTTTTGAATAACTTATCAGGTCAACCAACAGTAATTCAAAAATTTTGAAATCAACTAAATTTATTTTTTTATTGAACATTAAAAAGATATTTATTATATTGAAAGAAAGGAAACTAAAAATATTATTACAAATAATTTACAACATGTAATGTCTTTTTTTTTTTACATTTCAGAACAAAAGAACTTTATCAGTTTTTAAATACATGATTTTCGGAACCCTGGCATGTTCTCGTATCTAACAGCAAAGGCAACAAATGTTTGGTTCAAAATAATAGTTATTATCATAGATAATTACGTTTATTTTAAATTAGTTGAGTCAAATAATGAGTTTGTGAAAAAAGGGCAAGTTAAAAGGTAGTATTATTTACAAATTTTTAATAACTTATTATTAACCATATTATAGATATTCTCCCATTATACCCACTGCAACTTATATTACTAAATTATTTTGTCTGTTGTTGGTTTTAAGAAAAATTGCACCTCATTATCTATTTATCAGGTTTTCTGGTCAATTACATTATATTTCAGCAATGACTCACACAAAAGTGTAAATGTGTCTGAAAATTATTTTTTAAGTTAAAGAAATGCAACAAAAATGGAATACTAATCATACATTTTAGAAAAATCGATCATAGACCAAAAGTCATTTTCAGAGTTCAGAACTTAGTAAAAGAATAATTTAAGAAGAGCTTTTAGAAGAGTCATTCTTTGATACTTGTGCTTTTATGAAGTGTCATTTTGAAGTTAGGATTAAATTATCCTAATTTCTCATTACACTGATCCTTGCAAATAAACCATAAGAGCTAGACTATCAAATTCTTTCTGATGCAAAATTTACAAGAATATTTCACCAATTATATAATTAAACTTACAATTTCTTCAACTGATATAAATTATTTACATTCCTTCTACGTTTTTTTAGTTTGTACATTTAGTTAGTTCAAGAGACAAAAAAATAGGAAATAAGAGAAAGACATAAATTATATCTGTTAATGAATAAAGTGTATCAATTTTAATGCACAGTTTACAGAAAGTATTAAAATACATTTTATTTCATATACTTACAATTTTTACAAGCAAAATTATATACTTTTCACAAACATCAAAAACTGTTCCTTTGTTTTGCAAATACATTCCTTGAAAAAATATTAAGGATTTAATGAATGCATTTGTTATATAAAGAAATAAACATTTTGTTTAATTTCAAAAGCTTATATGCTTTATTATTTAATTTAGAAGTTCAATACATCTAATCATCTTGACATAATCTGCTTCTTTTAAGGGAAAAAAACAGAACTTAAGTAAAATATAGCCTTTCTGCTTGTTACCTTTAACTAAGGGGTCCCCAACCATATGCTCGCGGGCACCATGGTGCATATCAATCAGTATAGGTGCGCCTGCTGCTTGTGCGCAATGATAAAATACTTTGGTTTTCCATTTTCCAAAAAAATGCTATGCAAATGCATACTGAAGTACGCTGGCTCAGTAAAAACAAAGTACTTGATAAATTTATGCCTTAAATTAAAGAAATAAAAAATTATCTTGCAGCCAAAAATCACTTATTTTTAGAACGGAGAGATCCTCTTTGGCTAGCAAATTTGTCTTTCATAACGGGCATAAAGGGAAAACTAAATAATTTAAACTTGGAGCTGCAAGGAAAGGACAAACATATAGCAAGAACGATAGGGGCTATAAACTTGTTTAGAGCTAAGCTAGTTTTGTGGATATCACATTTGAAAATGAAGTCTCCTTTGCATTTTCCAAACAAGAAAAAATTGATAGGTGACAGTGAAATTGACTTATCATCATTTGTCATAAATCTCCAATTGCTTCAAGATCAATTCGAAAAGCACATTCAACAATTTAATATCATCGAGTCTATGGTCACCTTTTTTGTAAATCCTTTTACCAACTAAATAAACGTAACCGAAATAGCAACATATATTTCAGAATTTCTTCAAGTAAGGTGAAAAGAAGTGGAAATAGAAATTTTGGATCTTCAGAATATTATCCTCCAAACTATTATATCAGATGAGAAATTTGGGAATATAGTTGACAGAAATAAATTTCCATTCTTAAAAAGAGAATCATATAAAACACAGTCGTTTCTTGATTCCACAAATGCAAATCTCGACTTACAGACGAACACCTTGATGATTGCTTGCGAGCAGGAATTTCATCATATTCTCCCAATAGTGAAACGCTGGAGAGTGAAATGCTCAGCCAAAGATCACATTGACTGTATTTTATAAATAATTTTTATACTTTGTATGTTTTGATATTATCTATGTCTATCAACTATAAATTTATCATGAAAAAATAAATGGTGATCGCCATTCGACCGATATTCTGGTATTTGCTCTTGGGTACAAAAAGGTCGGGGACCCCTGCCTTGAATCCATTATATGGATATTCATATTCATGAGTAAAACTTTATATAGAGTTTTCTATTAATAGTTCAACTAATGCAAGTTTGTATTTTCTCTGAGTGGCTGCTTTAAAATATCTAAAAATATGGTCAGAAAAAATTGCATAAGAAAATATATAATTATGTATGAAAAATTTCACTACTATATACAAAAAAAAACTGTCAAAATATTTCAAAAATACATAATGTATTACTAATGTGTTTCTTAATCAAATAAAACGTAAATGAATGAGCAGAAATTTCTTTTCCTCCACATTACTTTTTCTGCATTTTTACAAATTGAAAGAATAGAAACAAATTTTACTCATTTAAAAAAAAAGTAAAGTATTGGAAAGTTTAAGTAATTTAAAAAGGTTATTTAATAAATTAGGAATGATAAAGTTAATATTTGAATACCGATTAAAACATAAACCAAAGGTCACTAAAATTTATTGTCAATAAATAATTATGATAGATTCTAAAAAATGAATTTAAAAATACTTACTGCAGTCTAAAAATGGTCCAATTTGTTGATATATGAGTAAAATAAAATTCACAGCATCTGGTTCTTTGGAGCATTCTTTAAAGCCAAAAGTGACTAACTTTCGTAAAACTAAAAATTTAATAACAAAATAACATAGTATCAACAGAATGAAAAATCTACTAAGAAAACAAAACATTGACAACAATAATAAAATAGAAACATATACAATACACATAATTACAAACTTACTTTTTAATGTTAAAAAAGAGTTATCAAGTAGTTCCCTAACTTGAAGAGCATCACCATTAACTTCCTGGAGAAATAATTTGCTGTAATTTATCCACTGGTGAAAAATATTTGAGAATATTGTACTTGTAAGCTAAATAAGAAAAAAAATTCAATTACCTTTTCGTTCACATTTTACCCACGTTTCAGTAAATACAACAAATACCAGAAATAAAAAACAGACTTAACCTGATAAAAAATACGACGATCCCCTGTCAATCTTTTGGAAGATAAAGCTTTTATCACATGCTGCATGGTTAATAAGGCTCTCTGCTGTTCAAGTTTATTAACGGATTGTGTACTATTTAATAGTGTTGGAAATAGCTCAGCCCACTCTTTAGGGAAGTCAAAACGAGCTATTTTTGAGATTATGACAGCAAATTGAAGGGCAATCTGTAATTAACATACAATATTAAGGTGGAAAAATTTACTTCTTCATAATTCAAAATGTATAATTCAATAATGCTTTTTACAAGCAAAATATTTTTTGAAATGTTATCTTAAAATTAACTAAAATCTTACAAAATTAAAAGTAATAAAACAACACAATTACTTATGCATGCAGGATTAATTAATTTAAACAAGAATATAAATCCAAATTTAATTAATTTAAAATATTTCTCTAAAACTTTCATTAAAACAAGTTTAGAGTAGTTTCAAGAGTATTCAATTAAAATTTTATGTGCATTGACACCAAAAAAAAAATTTGTGAAAAGGCAAGCTAAGATTTTTCTTTTTTTTTTTGTCCACGCATTAAAGCGAGCCAATATGGAATGATGTAACAGTGAATAAGGTGCCTGAGCCTTATTAAGTACGGTGATATGATCTCAGATCTCAGGGTTTCAATCATAACAAACGCCTTTTAACATAATATATATTTAATAACAAAAGGATGATGATAATGGTACAGTGTCATGGAGGAAACGGATTANTAAGAGTATTCAATTAAAATTTTATGTGCATTGACACCAAAAAAAAAATTTTGAAAAGGCAAGTTAAGATTTTTCTTCTTTTTTTTTTGTCCACGCATTAAAGCGAGCCAATATGGAATGATGGAACAGTGAATAAGGTGCTGAGCCTTATTAAGTACGGTGATATGATCTCAGATCTCAGGGTTTCAATCATAACAAACGCCTTTTAACATAATGTATATTTAATAACAAAAGGATGATGATAATGGTACAGTGTCATGGAAGAAACGGATTAGAAAACTAATGATTTTACATTTATGCGCAGAGCGCCATCTATTGAGTTTTAGAAATTATAATTAATATGAAGAAATATTATTAACAAGCCTGTTGTAAAGTATTAGGGTTCAATCCCTGGCAGTAACTTAAACCCTTCCATCTTCAAACTGGTGGATACCAGCTTGTCTAAGAAATAAATGCAGTTGATGCACAATATTGACATTTTAACTATAATAATTCAAAAAGACACAAAGCTGTATATATATATACTATATATACACAGTGGTGGCCAAAACTGTGGACACTTTTTGAAAGCTTCATGTTTTTCAACTTTGTGTGCTTGTAGAATATATTAATTTTCACTTAAATACAAACGTTTATATATCAAATTGAAGGTAATTTAATGTAAAATTTAATAATAAATACAGTATTACAAAAAAGTTATGCAATTAATAGTAAGATCTATCATAGATTTGCATTTTTTTAAAGATTTGCATTTTTTTTTACTTACACAATCAATGCTTAGTAGGATAAACCTTAATTTTTAAGACAGCTTCACAGCGTCTTTTCATCAAGTGAACGAGTGTTTGTAGTTCATCTTTCGTAATCACATGGTGCCAAGAATCAATTATAGTTTCACTTAGTTGTCTTTTAATGGATGGACGTTTTTTTTCGTACAAGAATTTTCAAACGTCGCCACAAATTTTTAATTGGATTGAGATCAGGGCTGTTTCCTGGCCATGGTAATATATCTATGCCATTATTTTGAAAGCATGCTTTGCAAACTTTTGCTGTGTGGCATGAAGCTGAATCCTGCTAAAAAATAAATGGTTCGTTGTTGGGGAAGAGATCCCTGATGGAAGGTATCAATTTTGGTTTGTGTGGATCCCTGATGGAAGGTATCAATTTTGGAAATCAATGCCACCGTGACCGGTGGCATTGATTTTATTAAAGGATGTTTTTAACATGTATTAATATTGTAACGATTCGGTTCTTGCCGATTTGATTTTATAAGGCGGCTGATTTTATTATCCGGTGATTTTATTAGCGGTGGGCACTATATATATATATATAAAAAACACATTAATATCAAATTAGTTTCTCTTCAAAAATATTTATAGCATACAAAAATATATAAAACTATAACAGTAAAAAAGTTAAAAACCAAACAAAAATAACTTACTTGGTTGACTTGTTCATTCAAACACATCAATAATTTCTGTTTGATTGCAATCCTCTCCTCATTTTCAATAGAACTAAAATAAATAAATGAAAAACAATAACGAAAAACTAACAATTAGAACTAAAATTTGCTATTTAAAATTCCAAAAATAAATAAAATGATTAAAGAAAACAATAATAAAAACAAATTTTTGATTTGTTACATTCACAAAATTCATTAACTAACTAAAATATTTCATGTATAAAGCATGCAAAACTTTATATAAAACAAAGATAAAAGTACATTCATATTTTATGATTTTCACATGACCTGGGGTGATTGTGAGTCCAACTCAAAAATCCTGAAAATTTCTTGAGTAAAATGATTAATGACACATATCAAAAAATTAATGTCCTGATAAATTTATATCATTGACATTTTCAAAACATAAATTTCTAAATAAATTATATTTCAAATAATTTCAATGAATAATTATTTATAAGTTTACTTTTATCTCTAATCCCATTTATTATTCTACCAGAAAAATATTTACAAATGAAAGAGATGCCAAGCAAAAATTCTAGTTCTAATATTTTTAAATAAAATAAACAAGAATTTTTATGCATAAATGTGATCAATGATTTCTTGAAACTGTTGGACCTTGGATGTCTGGAAATTTTCAGATTACGGTTAGAGAAAAATCCGGAAATCCAAATATTATCCACAGCATAATCATCAGGGCATGAGTAATAAAGATTGGGTGAGGCTCACTTTTGGTAGCCTGAGCCTAGACAAGATTAAAACTTAACATCGATTTACAAGTTTGTTGTTTGTTAAACTCCAAATTATTTATATGTTAGGTATAAACCAGCATCTGTGGCCATTACTTAATCTCTAAATCGAGCAATGGCTAATTCGGAATGAGAATAAAACATTCTGAACAACCAAAAATTTTTGATAAAAAAAAAATAGTTGTTAAAATGTTTTTATTATCAAAACCAAAAAAAAAAACTTGATGTCAAAGAGGAAGCCCTCAAAACATCTTAAACTACTGAGTTTAAATACTAAGTCTACATTACTAAGTCTATACTTCTAAATGAAACATAAAATATTTTGCATGGTTTTTAGAGTATAACAAAAGTTATTTATAAACTGATAGCTCATTAAAGTAGTAACTTAATTCACTAGTAGTCACATCGACAAATCTCGATAATGCCACAACTACATAGAAAATATGGATGATCTTTACGAATAAGGCACAATAATTTTAAATATAGATGATCTTTATGAATCGGGTATAATAATTATAAAAAACTACTAAAATTTAAATTCTTAGAGATCTAATTTTTTTTTTTAACTAACTGAATATCACAATGTTCCCTTAATATTCAAAACATTTATTAATAATGTATAATACAAAATACACATAATATAAAATACAAACCACACCTGAACTTTCAGATGAAAATACAAGAAAAGAAATTAAAAGATTTTAAAAATAAAACAAACTATAGTAAAATTTAAAAGAAAATGAGAGTAAATTTTTATTTTAAAAACAGTATTCTTTTTTTGAGATATTTTTAAATTAATATTCAGAAATTCTGTAATTACAAATCAAGCATTAATTGTTGAAATAATTACTTCAAAAGTTTTTTAGATTACTGTTTTAACCTTCAAACTAATAATTAAAATAGAAAGGAATAACAGTAAATTTTTTTAAAATCATATAGTTCTAATACCTAAAAAATCTGTAATTACATATAGAGTTTAGATTTTATAAAAATATTTTATATGTTTTATATAATTTGTGTAATTTGGACAAGTCTTACATAATATTATTATCACAGTAAAGAAAGAAACAATAACTTAGAATAAAACAATAACTTTTTCTTCTTGTTATAATCAATTATATTTTTTATAATTTTCTGTTAAATTATATTTAAAAAAAATTACTAAATAATATTAATATCCCACTTCTACTTACTTGGGAGCAGTTTTACGCCAGTAACGATCAACACCATTTTTAATGCACAAGGCTGATAACCATCGTATGTTAACATGCAAATTGATATCACAGGCTATGTTCTAAAAACAATACAAAGATAAGTTAATATCTGGTATTTGATTATTCAAAAATTTGATAAAATGATTTTCCTTAGAAAAGAGAGTAATTATCTGTTAATTGAGACTATAAAACTCAACATCATTAATAATGCCAGTGTTCTAACTTAAATTAATTGTAATAATAGGTACTATTAAAATAGTGTTCATAAGCACTAGGTACTGTGGTAGTAGATACCTAACATATTATAGGTACTACGGTAATAGAGTTTTTACAGCCTTCTATGTCATAAAGAACTGCAAAAATGAAATAACTCTAAACAATAATTTTTAAAGATGCAAATTTTACAAAATAGTTAAAAAACTAAAAATTTTATAGTTAAACATACAGGGATTTATTGGTGTTTCTAGAAACATTTACCAATTTTCTTCAAAAGCTAGCATATTATGTAATAAAATAAAGCATACTCTTTTAAAAATAAAGATAATAAACATTTATTTATTTTTTATCCAAAAAATAAAGTGGTTTAAGGTATGTTTGCTTTTTAACACTTTTCTAATCTTTGAATCAACCTTTATGTGAGATCTATGTTACTATTCTCTATTTTATACTAAAACATTGTTGATTATCATTCTCATCTTCATTAAAAAAACTTTTTGCTTGCTAAGTATGATTACGTAAAAAATAGTCAACAGTTACACATTTCACTTAAGATTTGTAAGCAACTTATAAGATTCCCTTTTTCAATTTTCAGATTAAATTAAAAATCAAAGTTTAAAAAATCGAGCCTGATGTAATAAGATTTTCAAAAAAAACAAAACAAAAAAAAAAAAGACATTTTAGAATGCTCTGGTTGAATTTCATGTTAAGATTTTCTTTTTGATTTTTTAAACAAAAATAAATTGAACTTCATCCTATCATCCCTAAAAAACCTATTAAATCATCCCTATACGGAATCATCCCTAAAAAACAATTTAATCATACTACTAAAATATCAAAAGGTAGCTTATTGCTATAAAGGCCCCTTCGCCAAGGCAAAAAATGCGCGAGATCTGTTCAGCCTTGATAATATTATACAATATCAAAATTAAAACAATGGGAAAAAATTTTAAAATATGCTAAGTTACAGATTTTTTTCATATTTAGACTGTTTTAGTCGCAAATATTACACAATAAAATATTTCTCAATTTACTAAGGTGTGAAGTGGAAACTCATGTGTTGTTTATTTAAAAAAATTGCAGCAAGTTTTATTTTTTTAATTTAATGTCATCCTCTTTGTATTTATTTAAGAAGGCTAACTTTTCTATTTTCGAGATTTTTGAACAATAATTTTGCCGACTTTGCTAAGCTCGGCCTGTAGGAAAGTTATATTTTTTCTTAACGAGCCGATTTTGCGATAATCATTATAATAAAAAAAAATGAAGTCAGGTAACAAATCTCCAAGGTTGATTTCAGGTAGATTATGCTTTAAAATAGGACATAGTGATAGAAAAATAATATTAATAACAAAATAAAATGACATAAGAAAAAGGACCATAAGAAATTAGTCATATTAACAAGTTGCAACTTCAACAATATACCAATAAAATAGAATAAAATCCTCTTTCAGTCTCCCAACTCTTCAACTGAATTTCTGCATCTTTTAAAAGTTCAGCATTCTGACTAGATGCTTTTGTCAAAGCTCCTAAAACTATGTTGTATTGATTATCCATCTCTAACAACGTGATTACTAAAGATCAAGATTTATCTAAATGCTAAAAACATGAATGATATTATTTCGATTTCAATTTAAAGTAAATGATAATCTCTTGAACATAAAGATTATATATTTGTACTATGATAACATAATTTAATTAGAAATTGTCAGATATAGCGGCTCGTGTTTACATTTAGACACTTTATGGATTTGTTTGTTTAAACGTATTGAGCTACCTTTTGTTGCCCGTCTTAAAATTGGTCTATTGCAACAATGGCAGTGTTTCAAATTCATAAGCAACAAGCATTCCCACTGCATGCGATTGTCGCACCTTTAAGGGCACATCCAATGGATGGGTGATCGTGTAAAGCTAAGGGTGGTGGCGCTAGTGGTAAAATTGCTCTTTCAAGACTTCCGGGTTACTGCTTCCGATATATTTTTACGCCGCAGATTAAAAAACGCGCCACCATATTATTGCATCATATATTTTGCAGTATTTCACATGCACCGAGTTCTTTCTTTCAGCTTTAAGCTTCAGCATTATCATATTACTATTATAATCATTAGAATATTTTTTAATTAGGCTAACTTAAAAAGATTCTTTTGGTGAAATTTTTTTCAAATGTAGCCAAATAAGGGATAAAATACAAAACATGGCAAACCTTAAGAATTATTCACTATGAGATATTAACTTTCCAAAATTTTTTTTGGTCTTACGACCTCTGAGAATCAATACATTTCTGAAAGCTCTTATGAATGGTACAATTATACTTAGATTTGACCCCAAATTACAATAACAAAACTGCATAGAATATTAGGATTGTTCACACATCGCCTCGTAGTCATAACATAAGCGGAGGGATACACCGGAAATTTTCTAAATTTCTTCCGGTTTAAGGACGCTTGTTATTGTTTACATTAGACCACCCATCCATAGCTAAGACAAATCCAATATCTAAACGTTTTGGATAAAATTTATTAAAAAAAAAAAAATAGTGCGTGGACTCCCTCCGCACGGAAGAAGTTAAACTTCACAACCAGCGACGTTAATTGTAGAAGAATCAGCAGTCGTAGCAGGATCGCTAGTTCTATTCAACGACTCTTTTTCCTGCTCCGCTCGCTTCCGTGCTCTGTAATCACGGTAATATTGTGCATTTTTCCCTCGTGAACCCCTTGAACCAGTGGAAGTGCTTGTGGTTGTCTCATCGTCTCGCCCTGGAAAATGTATTTGTATTAATAATGTATGTTAATGCGTCATAATGTAATTTCAAAAGAGAAAACCTGACAATCAATTGATATTCACAAGAGATGTACCTTGACATAACCTTAAATCCGTCGCATGGGATTGTTTTCACTAATTTTTTACAATTGTTATCCACTAAATTTGAAAATAAAAAATGTAGCGTTAAACGTTTAACGCAACCTTGTTGGAAGTCGCATAAGAAGTATAACTTCAAAAATACTACTCTATTCCCGATCGCAACGAACTATAGGGGGGGTTTTTGTATGAGACGGATACCTGCGATTTCCATATGAACAGTGATTCAGTTACTCTAGAGACGTTTTTAATGTAGCACGTAGCATTGCAACGTTCCTTCTTTATTGTGGCTAATTAAATTTAAAAAAGAAAAATATTTGGTATTCTTTCTTATGCAAACGAAAACAAAATGGTATCTCTTTTAATTAGAGAAGGAATATCCAAAACACATCGAAAAAATATTTGCACATTAACAGAAAAAAATATGTATATTCTTATAAGAGTTAAAACCTAATGCCCGAGAAATAGTATTACTAAATTTAATGATATAACATGAAAGGCCCATTTAAACTTTACATTCTATAGTTTTAAGAATCATATTA